TCTGGCTTTGTGCAGTTTGTGCACGCTTGAAACAACCTTAGTGTGAGATCAACACGTGCCAGACAACCATCTGCTCGCACTTGATCTTCTGGAGAAGCCTAGACACGAGTCGTAGGGAAGAAATCTGAAATGGTTCTTGCCAGACAAGTGACTGGCCTTGGGGTGTCTCTTCCAGTGCTATATTCCCAGTGAGGAACGAGATCTGTCTCAAAGCAGTAAGCCATCCCGCATACCACAAACTGGGGCACCATCCCACATACCACAAACTGGGTGGCCCAGTCCACCTTTTGCTCTTCCTCACGGTCCCCAATTTTAGTTAAACAAAGCTGTTGTTGTAACCTAACGGATGTCGCCCAGGACACCATGCGCTGCCGATGTAGGGCACCGCAGCAGTCTGTGCCGTTTGGTGTCCATGAGGAGGCGGCAGGAGTTTCCTCTGAAGTCGGGAAGTTCAGCCCGGCAGTGACCAAAGCAGTGACAATCTGAGTGCCAGTTCTCTAACATAAATTAATTTTAATGAAGAGAGTAATCCTTGACCCCTGTCCCCATCAGGCACAAGGCTGTTAAACCACCCGTCTTTCTTTTTCAAGCACTTCAGCAGGGACGGAGGATACATGAGACAATACTGGACCGTAAACATCCTGAACCCACAAGAAGCAGGATGAAGGCTTTAGAGCAGAAACTAATTTCTCTTCTGTTCTTTAGGGCCATGATGATGACAGCCTGTGATTTGTCAGCAATCACTAAACCTTGGGAAGTCCAGAGTAAGGTCAGGTGCTTGACACACTGTTAGGTTTCTTTAGCTTGTACTTCAAAATAATGTCGTTGTCTAAGCTGCTTAAAAGCCACATCAAGATTTCCTGCCAAAACTACCAAAAGGGCATTAGAATAATAATCTTTCTGATAGATACACATCAAGCTTTAAGATCATAGTCATGAATTCTGCAGGAAATTTTTGTTTACCAGAAAGGAAAAAAAGCAAGCACTTCCTGTGTTACAGTGAGAAGAGGTTTTACGCACATAACGCGTGGAGGGGTTTTGCAGCAATACCTGCTGTCTGGTCAGTTGTTTACTTTCCTTTAGGAGTTCCCTCTTGAACTGCATGTATTGATCAGTTTCTAAGTGAGAAACAACAAAGGAGGGTAAAATAAATAAAACCCACCTTTCTATTCAACATGGAAAAAGGGCAACTGAGAAAAACCTAATAGGTAGCTACAGCTGTGAGCAGCACCGGCCCAAGAAGCAAATCCTTGTAGGGAACATGTTGGGAACTTATCTTAATACATGAATAGTAGATTAATGAGCTCTGGTGCAAGGAGGGCATTTCAGCCACTGCTACACCAGTGCAATCCCGTTGCCACTACGGTCATTCCCAGGAGGGATTTTGGGAAGGTCTGGAAGCTGGGGGAACAGACAAGTTTAAGGCATAAGGGAGCTAGTAGTAAGATTCGCTTCTTAGTGGAGACCTGAAGTGTTTGAAGCTGGAACGCTGAAGGCAGTGATAATTTTTTTTTCCTCCTTCACAATGTAGGTAGCTCTTCTCGTAGCGGCTGAGTTCTGGGAGCAAGGAGACTTAGAAATAAGCGTACTTCAGCAACAGCCTATTGTAAGTCGCACGTGAGAGCCAGACAGTTTCAGTTACCACTTTCTATTGTGAGTCTCAGCAGAGAGCAATACAAACAAAAAACACCCTCAGGGTGCTGTGAGTCTTTCTGACACTACCGTGCCAGTCCAAGTCCATCTAAAAACGTAGGTATTCAAATAGGGAAGATCCTCTGGCAGAGCCCTTTGCCCAACTCTCCACCGTTAGATGGACCCCACTGGCTGTGAACCAGCAAAGCTCCCGCTGGAGATTTTGTGCTGGTCCCTTACAGAGAAGAAGAAAATGGCACACCTGCATCTTAGAGGAAAACACAGTTTCCAGTGAGAAAGAGCTATAAACACAGAATTTGTAGAGCCCGGAAATATTTTATGGTAAATGAATGTGCTTTAGATCAGTGTTTCTTAATATATCAGAAAATGTGGTAGACCATCAAGCTTTCGGGGAGGGTGGAAGTCACATGAGCAGCTTGCAAACCCCCTAATGCGTATCAGATGGGAAGAGAAGTGTTGAAATAGTTAGAAGTCAGGTAAATTATATTTTGCAATGTCATGCAGATTTAATTTTTCTGCTCTAATTACAGACATTTAAATTTGACTTTGACAGAGTCAAGAGTTGTTCCCTGACTTGGCCTCTATCTATGTAACTTGGATTTTCTTCAAACAAACTTTCTTACACCCCACAGATGCTTCACAAACAATACCCTAACCAATAAGATTTTACAATAATATCATTGGATGTTCAGCTGATGTTTTAGACACTTAAATACCTCTTTGGCACTTTATAACATGGCCCTTCTCTTAAATATCGTGTTGAGAGGCACAGGGGAAAAACTCTGTTCTCTTCCACATCCATCGGCATGAAAACATCCATATAAAATTCATCCTAAAATGAACCCATTTCATTCCTCTGCAGAGGAGGAAGAGGGCTGTGATCAACAGCCTTCATGGGCAGCATGGCAGAACATCAAGGCACTTTTGGGGCAAAAGCAGAAGTTTTTTTTTTTTTTTAATGACGTGTTCTCATAAATCATGAAAGACTCCTGTCTTCCCCCTAGCCCATGATGGACAGAAGAAAAGCTGCTGAGCTTCCAAAGCTTCAAGTGGGTTTCATTGATTTTGTGTGCACCTTCGTCTATAAGGTAAGCCAACCACGCTCTTGCACACCCCATCCTACTCAATGTGCATTCAAATCCTGGCCTCCCTGGGAAGTCCCAGGGTAGAAACAACATTAGGAGCAGAGGAAGAGGGAGAGGAGACAGCAGAAAGAGAAATTCCATGTTGCTGCCAATCTCTCTTCTTCCCACATTCGAAGGAAAAGGGAAGATTTGGGAAAGGAAATCGCAGATGCCAAAGAGATCTCTGACAGAGAAAAGCATGGGAGCATTTGTGTATCAGACAGGAAGAGAGCAGACGCTCCTCACCCCAGGGTCTCCTAGACACAGGGAGGGAGTGAGGTGCCCCTTCTCCTCTGCCATTGAGGAAGGTTTCCTCTGACCAGCTGCCCCTCTCCACGCCATTGCAGCATGGTCCCTTTTCATGCCATTAATGCTTCCCCTGCGTGAGCTAGCTGGGGAAGTGGGGAAGCAGGAGCCCATCCCACAGTATCAAGGACGAAGGACGAGTGCTGTCTCTGCACAGCATTGCGCTGATGGGTGTGTTCTGGTCAGGAATTTTCACGTTTCCATGAGGAAATTCAGCCAATGCTTGATGGGCTGCTGAACAACAGGAATGAATGGAAGACTCGTGCTGATGAGTATGATGCAAAAATGAAAGCTCTGGAGGAAGAGAAGAAAAAAGAGGAAGAGAAAATGGCTGCAATGAAAGGTCAGAAAAAATACTTAGCTTTTCATTCCTGACTTGAAATATTCTTATCTAATATCCTCCTAGATCCGCAGCAAGCTTTGCAAAAGCAGAGAGCTTACCACATCAATAGACATGGTCCAAGAAGTCACAGAAAAGACCTGGATGCAAAGAACAGTTTCCTGAATCTTGCTCAGTTGGCTAGGTTTAACACAGAACTCCAAAAAACACCTTGTTTTCAAATCTGACACCATGACACGTTGTTAAAAAGGCAACCTGCTCAAATGCCAAGGGGCTAATATTGAAAAAAACAGTGAGATTATGTTCAGCATGAGCTCCAAGGCACCTGGGATCAGCAGGAGGATCTTTGTGGGTAGGCAGGTTGCTGGAGAAGAGCAGGGGAAGAGCGCTTCGTACACAAGGGCTGCAGTTGATGCACTGCCCGACAGGTCATGAAACAGCCGGAGTTAAGAAAAACTAACACCCTCCTAGAGAAAAGACTTGAAGAATGACTGTTCATCCCATTTCTAGCCCAAATTAGGTAGTACTGTGGTAGTTTATTTTGGTTGAATCTGTTCTTTTCTTTGGGTCAAGTCTGGATGGCACTGACGTCCACTAGCTGCAGCGAGCATTGGATGAAAGCCTGCATTAATGCTTGTGGTTGTTAGCCTGAGGATCTGTGTGACTCTCTGAAATGTGGAAGCAGCGTGCTCTCTGACCATCTCTGCCAAGTGTCTGAATAAAAACCTGTCAGAACTTGGTGTATCTGCTCCACGGAGATTGCATTTAAAGTTTCCTTTTGCTCCAAACTGGACCGAAACCACAATATCCCATAGGGCGGATGTTCCTCGGATAACAAAATTTAGCGACAGTTAAGTGACCTGAATGTTTTATTCCAGTTTCATTATTAGAAATTAATTGAAAATATCAAAATTAAGGGCTTTGGGTATGATTCGGAAAATGCTTGAAGAATTCTTTCCTCATTAAGTAACCAGTATGCAAGTGAGAAACCTGCTAACTCTAAAAATCTATTTCAAAGTAGCTTTACATGCATCTTGCGTAGTAGACAGCTCTAGATTGGGTACTTCGGCATGATACACACTGATGACTGGATGATTTACAAGTACTAAATAAACCCTGTAGCGTTTAAGAAGAAATTTTAGGACAGTTACGATTGTATTTCTAATTCTTTTTTTTCTTTTTATATGGCAGATGGAGTCACCTGTAACGGAGGAACAGCTCCAGCTTCTAAAACCTGTAGTATACTTTAGACCCAATTCCAACATGATATACACCACCCAAAAGAGAATGCCCTTACTTTAAAAAAAATATATCATGGCATATAAATACGTTCCTGATTGGACTGTTCTGCCACTAAAATTAGGCTTATGACCAGCGAGGGAAGGGCTAGATCTTGTTTGCCTTAACTGCGTCCCTTCCTGATGGTGAGGGGCCAATCCTGTCCCATCTCTCACTCCATTCTGTGCACCTGATGTGGTCAGAAGGGCACATGGCAAGTTACAGCAACATCTGGCCCGATAAATCAGGTTGCATAACTGTGGAAGAATCATTTCTCCTGCCCAGAAACACTTCTTATCCCAGTGCTGATAGGGCCAGCTAAACTGATGTCCTCCTCAGTACAACTCCATGTGACTGACCATGTGTGCAAACACAGCTTGCAGGATAGGAAAACTAAAGAGCTGAATTTATCATATCTAATTCTTTATCTTTTTGAAGGACATCAAAAAGAAATCTGTAGGTAGGGGTAAAGCATGACAACTGACCATAGTAAACCTTTCACCTTGTCTAAAACGTTACAGTTCCCTGTAAGTCCAAGAAACAGTCATGGTGATAATAATTCTGCATTCACTTCAAGAATTTGAATAGCCTGCCGCTATAAAGCTTGCAGCTGTTCATTCAAGATCCAGGAGCTACCCTCTTCGTGCAGGGGATCCATACTGTGCACTAACCACGGCAGCTGTGCTGTGATACGTGATCGAAAGAAGACAATGTTATCATTACTCCTAACGGTTCCTGTTACGGTTACCCAAGCACCCTGAATTGTGGCATCTCCTAATTTCGTTCAGTTTGACATTGTTATGCCAATGTTCTTTAAAGCAGCTCTCTTCTGAACGGTACGAACCCTCCTTTTTTCTCTCCTTCTGTTTTTGAGATGTCTGTCTTTTCATGCCCCTCCTGACTTTGAAAGACTGATAACTTGTCCTCTTTATTTCAGATACAAGGTAGTTTTCATGTTACTCGTGCAGCCATGTTAGAACATTCGGTCACACTCTGATAGTGGCAGAGAAGGCTTTCTCTGCTCCTCTCCTTTTTTTTTTTTTTTTTTAAGTGGTATATAAGCTATGTAAATGTTTTGGTGTCTAAGTCATGTAACAGGACTTCTGTTTTCCTAAGGGGATATTACTCATTTTTTGTTACTCCTGCTACCTTCAGTGCTTTTACCCTCCAGTAACTTGTTCTGCATTACAGAAGTACTGTAAGTAAAAGAAAACCTAGCACCATAGTAGTATCTGGTGAGCATTTACCTGGTCCCAGGATACCGAACATGATACAGTCAGCTATCACTATGCAGCAGATGTGTGAGCAGCAAGCTGTCTTTCAGAAAAATACAGAAACCTGTCCGCTTGCATGAAGGCTAAATATGCTGCTAGTAGCCAAAATACTTTGTACTGTATGTCTCCGTTTCATTAGGAAACACGTAGGAGGCTTTCATGAAATAGCACTTTCAGGATACCAAGCCAAAGAAGTCATTTTTTCTGCTGGCAAAATGCCACTAGTTTATCCAATTGTGAAGCTGTAAGAAGTGGATTGTTAAGATAACTATAAGCCACTGTACACTTAATGTCTCATGCTGAGAAAGCTGTTTATGACTTCAAATGTTTGTCTGGAAATAAATACGAGAATTTAACTTCCCGTCCGTTGTACTCACTACGACATGCTTAAACCGTGGCAGGGTGCTCCAGAAAGTTTTCTTGTATACAGAAAACCAAGGTGTTTGGAGATCCCATTTCTGTGAAGGCTGGAGAGGTCTCCAAGGCTTCTTTCTGCAACAGCGGGGCTTGGGCAGCCGTAGGGACAGGGTCTAGCCCTGTTTCTGGGGAGGGTTGCATCCCCTTCCCACTTCTGTGCTTCTTCCTGTGCGGTGGCCTGGCATCTTGGGCGTCCCACATAGCAAACCGGTCAGTGGCTGATCCTTGGTCTTTCCCCCTCTAGTAAGGCCTTAGGAGGGGAAGGTGTGTCCCTGTTGGCTCACTTCAGCTCGTGGCAGTGGGCTCAGTAGGAGGGAGATGTGCTCCTCAGTTAAGCATGTGTTTAGTATCTCAGACACCATCCCATCCTCCCACAGAAAGGGGTCTCTGAGAAGAACCAGGCCTAGAGCAAGGGCTCTAGGGCCTTGGGAAGAGAAACCGAGCTGCTGCTGGGCAGTTCAACCAGGTGTTGCTGCTCTTTCTCATGGCGCTACGTGGCTTATGACGCTGCTGAAGGTGATATGGCACCTGCTTGCCCAGCACTGTGTCCTCAGCGGTCACCTCCTGTCACAGCATGTGCAGCCCCTTCCTCTGGGGCAGCCTGCTCTTCCTTTCTGCCTGTTACCATGGCTCTTGCACTTAATTTCTAAGACACGTAGGGTGTTTGAGTGGAACACGGGACTTCCTCGTACTACATGTGATATCCAGTGATATCTAGTTTCTTTGCAAAATGGCACCATCAGTCACGTAGTCAACTCACTAAAAGATTGCAGCTGCTATCCTTTCTAGTCAGCAACTTCTTATCCAGAAATGTTGTTACTTCCTGTTGCACTGTCACAACCACACCACTTGTAGTTTGCTGCTCTCCTGGAGTATTAGTTGGTTAGACAAAGGTGAAACATGCCTTGGTTCTTGCCTGCAATGCTCTTCTGTAGCAGCTGGGACGAGGCTGCCTGAATTCCTTACCAGCTATGGAGTCAATGGTGGATGGGCATGGAGAAGGGAAGGGCCAAGAAACACAGTTCTCCGGTGTTTTCCCAGCCCTGTGAAGAAAGTAATGCAGGTTAGGTTAGATTAGGAGGCTATATAGGTCATTTCAGAGGAGCTCTTCACACACCTCCTCCCTGTTGAGTGCTCCACAGGCCTTCAACACAAGGCCTCTTCCCAAATGGCTGGGGATTTTGTCTTCATGTTTTCCTGCAACTCTGCTAATGAAGAACGCAGGTGCCCTTCAGCTAGTCCCTCTGCTTGTGCATAATCTGCTGCTATTGCTGCTGGGTTACAAGTGAACAAGCCTAATTTGGCACTGATGGTGATGTGAAAGCATGCAAAAGGTCTTTTCTGCTGGCAGAGCTGTGGGAGGTGGAGCTGTGTGGAGGTGGGAGCTTCCTCCAAAGAGAGAGAGGTGGTGACCGTGGTCGTCTTCAGCCACTCCACGTGAATCTGGAAGAGGACCTTCCTAGCTTTTCACAGTTGGTCTAGACGTGAATTTACCTAACGCGAGGAAATGCTCTTCTCCTTTCAGTGAGGCAGGGCAGCAATGCTTCAACCTCCACTCAGCTTTTCCAGAGGGGAGATGTTCCTGAATGCCGGAGGGTGGGGTACGGATCTCAGCTCCACACTTCAAGGAGAGGGGTCGTGGGTCTTGGTGACTGGCAAAGTGGCTCGACCTTTTCTGTTTGGCTGCTATAACTCCTGTGTAGGAGGAACTCCGTAAGAGTCAGAAAGTCCACTGAAAACAAGTAAGACTGAATTGCTTTCTGGACTAAACGTGGCTCACAGCACCTGCCACGAAACCTTGCAGGAGAAAAAAAAATCTTTTTCTCATATCCCTTCCTCTACTCCTTCCTCAATCCCTTAAGGTGGGATACGGGGAAGATTAGAAAAAACACTGAGTACTGAGAAACTCTCTCCCAGACAGCAGCAGGATGATTAGTCAGATTAATTTTTATTCCAGCAGAATAAAAAGTAGTTGCTGTGTTCTCCAGACTACAGAGCAAATAGGGGGAGATCTTCCCTCTCTCACACCCTTTGAGAAGAAAAACATTTTCTTTTTGTTGTCTTCTCCACCTTTCCCTTTTAGGTGAGACGTGTTTCAGGGTGACTTTCTGCCTCAGTTGCTACCTGTTGTCAAGATAAAGTAACTTTCTACAGAGCTGCCTTCTTCCTACTGCTTTCTTCAGTCTGTGGCACCTCATGTTTTGGCCATGCCACCTGAATTCAGATGCTCTCTGTCTTTCCTGCTTTCTCTTTTGTCTCTGTCCCTTCCAACAAGTTTCGGTTCCTGCTACCTGCTGCTGGAGGTCACTGCAGCCGCAGGCTCAAACAACAGAGCTCTCTCTTGCCCATATTATCTCAAAATCCATTGCCAAACGCAGCTCATGAATATTTGGGTTGGTTTGCATCCCTGTGGCAAACAATTGTCCTGAAAGCAGATACTTACTATGTGATTATTTATCACGTTCTACCCCATTTTTTCTCCTATACCTCATGGACTGGAAAAAAAATTATGCCCTTTCTTTTTGCAGTGGTCTTTAGATGTGTTTGCAGACTGTCTTCACACTCCCTTTGTCCTCATGCCTCTAGAAGCGATTCCGTCAGCTTTTTCCTGCAGACTCAAAAAAAATTGTGGTGACTAAAGACTGGAGATTGAACTCTCTCAACTGCAAGCAGCCAAATTACAGACAGCCCAGGAAAGGGCCATTCATCAGCGCTACCTGATCACGTAAGCGCTCCTAGCCTGGTGCGGGTGCAAAGCTGAACTTACTCTCTTTGCAGCTTTGGCAAGGTGAATGACTGCTCGTGAGGCTGTTTTGAGTCAGCTGGATTATTTATACCTTCCATAGACTCACCTATCTCTACCAGGTGTTTTATCATTGTAAAAAGTGAAACCTGGCATTCAAGCACCTGTATGAATCCTATTCACAGGATGCGTGTGTGAAATGGAGTAACTCAGCTAGTCAGAGAATCAAAGGAAAAAAAAAAATTCCGGACTCTTGTTAGATGTTGCAACCTGTGCTTTGTGCGATCCTTTTGCTGTGCACCTCTAAGGGCATGAAGCTGTCTTTTCCAGAACCTCCCTTCCTTAGTTGAGGACCACAATCAGATCTCTCCTTAGCCTGCACGGGTGGGAAACCTGCTGCATTAAATGCATGATATTCCCTCACCAGGAAGGACGAGCTGAATGCCACCGGGAGCTACCAAGCTGCCCTCAGAAGGGAGGGAACCAGAGTGCTGGCATAAGCAAAGCAGTGGAAGAAAAAGAAGGGGAGAAATTAAACTCTCCTTTTTGTGGCATACTGCATTTTCACTTTAATAAGCTGCTAGCCTTTGTGGCATGGCAAAGGCTGACATCCCATCAGAGTAACAGCAGCTGAAGCAGGGCTCATATAGCACTCTAGAAAGCAGCTGGTCACTGCTATCCTAGAATGTTCACAGGTACCTTAAACATGCTGAAAACAGAAAATTAACCTCCCTATAGCTATCTGGTGTTCACTTTTTTTTTTGGCTTGAATCTGATGGATGCTTCTGCAACCATCTGAACTCAGTTCAATTCCAGCAACCCAAACACGGCCACAGTAGCAGTAGCTACCACTGTGGCCAACTGCCACCAGAAAAGCGATAGCGTACTTAAAATTGAAGTAAGGAGCCTGTTATAATTACAGACATTTCTATTGAGTCAGAGCTGAATCCCAAGTGTATGTTTTAATGGGTTTGCAATAGCACTGTCTCCACATAATCACAGCTGACAGCCTGTGGCTTAGTACAATAGACACGAGCTGAGCGCAGTGCTTTACAAAAACAAAGTTTTCCAGTAATTCAAACCTAGTTTTCAGCAGCTCCTGGAAACAGAGTCTTTTGGAAGGCTTTAACCATGCAACACATTCTAAGCTATCCAGAGATCAAGATGTGAAATATTACCCTGATTTTACAGAAAATAATGTATTTGAAATGAATTGCCAGTCTAGCTCTCTACTTTCATTATGACCACCTAATGCTTTCAATACCGTGAGATAAAACATTCCAGCCAAAAAGTAAAGAACTGCTCAAGACAAGATAAAAGCTGACTTTCCTATTCCCCTTTTCTCCTTGAAAATATGCCATCTTACTCCAATTTCTCTGCTGTCATTAGACTGAGTTTACACTTTTAATTCAAATCTGATGTTGCTATGTTTCATTTCACTATATTCTATAGTGCTGCTTTCTTTTCTCAGCTGGCAACATTCACTGATAGTTAAGAATGTATGCCTTCCAAAGCATGTCCTAGAAGAGACTACATTTACTGAGAACAATTATAGTTTACTAAAACATATGGCAATGCCCCACTTAAGACTTATTACTTTAAAAAGACGGAGATCTGGAGTCAGTACTTCAGTTGTCTAATCCACAACAGAAAAAGGAATCTTGTCTACACAAGAAAGCAGGCTGTCTTGATCTTTAAGATAGATCTACTACTGCAATTCAGATGAGAAAAAGCCACAGTCACTCAACAACACAAAACCAGCGGACAAACTTCTTACCTCCCTCCAGCACCTCTGAGGTCTCCGCACCTCAGCTCCTGCCTTAGCAATTTCCACACTAAGAGCAAACAATCTCATACTACTTATTTTTAAACTTCAATCACCTGAGTAGCCAGCGACTTCTTATAAAAGAAGGGAGACAAGTAGATGGTGTTCCTAATTTTAGGAAGCATGTGACCTGTTAGCCAACTATGAAATTTTGTAAGACAAACGATTAGAAATAACATACTAGAGAGTTAGCACTCATTCAACTTTCAGAAATTATAATCAAATTTGACTGCACTGGCAAACGTAAGGATCAAACAGTTATCATTATCCAACGTGATAATACAATTGAACGCATGACAGTACATCCTTAATCAAGCTATTCATATAAAAGTGTACAAGGTCAGTGTAATGGCTGCTTCTCCCCTATGCCCAGATACAGAGAATTTTGTGCATTTCCTGATTACAAACATTCCCTACAAGTAATAGATGCAGTGACTGGCTTTATACTTTTGAGGAAAAGGACAGAGAGTTTCATCATCATTAGCTATAATCAGCTTGTGACAAATACTTCCTTTCACATTCTGCAAGTATTTTTGTTGCTGTTCTACGTAATTCACTACGGAAAAAAAAAAAAAAAAAATCAACCAGAGTATTGTAAGTACTTTATTGATAGAATAACATCCAGAGTTAAACTGTTCAGAGACTAGCCAGATATTTCCATGAATGAAAGTAAGACCCAGTCTTTTGTTCATTTCAATATGGAATCTTCACTTGCTGGAAGAAAAGAAAAAACAAACACGTTTAGGAGTACTGGCCATTCCTATGCAGTACTAAAACACAGCAAGACCGGATCTCAGAGGCTACCTCTGAGTCCACCAATTCTTTCTCGCCCGTTTTTATAATCCCCACTTCTCCTAATGCAATAGCAGTTGATTTCACTGCTAAAGGTAAAAGAATTTTGTGGGCTTACACATTAGTGAGTAACAGCTTTCTGAAGTGCTAATTCAAATAAGCCAAAAAAGCTATTTCAGATACTTCTAGGTTTCCATCTTTAAACAAATCTCCAACAACTGCACTGCAATGCTGAAGGAAGTCTGAACAACTGCTTTACTTACTAGAGAACTGTAACAAAACCACTGTTCAGAAGGCAGACAGGTAATCTGCATAACGCTCAAGTACATTAAACATCCTAAGAAAGCCATGACAGAATTCTACTATTAAATGAAGTAGAAATTTGCAGTACAGACTCTGTCTTATAAAGAAGATCTAAAAATCCCATTGATGCACTCAGACCTTAGAGATGGGGATCTAAGTAAACTGGGATAAGCAGCTTTATCGCCAGTAAACAATACAATTTACAACTAGCATGTTTGATGTTATACATGTAAAATTAAACAGAACAGTACAGGTTTCCAGTCAACATTATTAGTCTTGTTTAGAACAATGGAGATGTTTGTTTCCTAAGGAAATAGTTATTAAATGCATAGCTAGACCAAGGTAATTGTGCTTACTAATCATCAACCACTTTCCTTTAAGCTTTTCCTCAGTGAAAATCCATTTAAACAATCCAGGTAACTCAAGCTAGAGTGCACACTGCTCTGTGACAGGATGAAAAAAGGACAGGGGACCCAAGAAACATCCTAAGGTTGAGGGTAAAGTATGTTGCAGCAAGGACACTGTAGATGAACGGGGAATGAAACGGAGAAGCAGTACTAATCCCACTAGACCACCTTCCGGATATTCTCTTCACAAGAGAGATACAAAAGATGAAAGTGACCTCTAAAATTACGCTAGTGGTAGCATTTTAAAACCGCAGTCACAACCATTTTTGTCCAGGATTTCTTCTTGTGTCCGTAATAATTCTGCATTGCACAGAGGAAAGGGACTTAAGTTTACTGCACTCAACTATTAAGGGATAGCAGAGTACAATTAATATACAATTCTAGTCATTCCTCCCAGAATAAACAGCTGCTTTTTACAGTTTGTTTTCTTAAGAGAAATTTAGATTCCTCATTCAAGGAAACGCAGGTAAGCTAATATTCTATGAGGTTACAGAAGTGCTTTTAACTCCTCCCCTATTCATGTTGATATTTTGAAGAATTTTCACAGGAAAGTCTCTGTTCACTAACATTTTTCTTCAAGGCTAAAGAGTATATCAGCCTCTTCAAATATATAATTTCCTCCCCACTGCCCTACTACCAGCTTGTGTAAGCACATAGGTACTATCCACACTTTACTTCAAGGAAGATAAAACATCACATGAAAAGGCTGAGCAGCAGAATTACTTGTAAAAGCAAAAGCAAGTGCTCCAGATATTGAACGAGCATCAGGAATCTCAGCCACAGCAGGAGCTCTAGTACAACTTAAATTTCAAACCTGCAGGTCAATCGGCCAACGGTTCTAAAGACTAAAAAGCTTAACAGGAGCGTGTACTGCAAATGCAAAAATTTCCATGGAAGAGATAAATCTGGGTAAACTAGATTTTTGAAACGGGCATCTAGCTTTTAGCATACACATCCTATAGTAACACCTTGCTTAAAAAAAAAAACTTCTCAACAAAGTTTTTTTCTTCTCACTTTAGTACACAAATAAAAACATCTTCCTAGCTATTTGGAGCTAGTTCTTTTTGTAGTGCATGTCACTGCACACAGGTTGTTCACACTTAAATTGCTACTTTAAAGCACTTAAACAAACAAGGAAGAAAGCTGTTTTGTTTGAAAGAGCAGACTTAATCGTTATTTACCTGGTAGCATCATAAATCTTATTTAAAAAAAAAAAAAAAAAAGACCTTGCTGAACTCTGAAAAGATTTTCCAGGAACAGCATTAATCACTAGGCAACAAACTGAAGCCTGCTGGCAGCCTAGGCCTGTCCGACTACCGGCGCTTCGCACAACGGCAGCCACCGGCCCGGGGCTCAGCCTGCACCCAGGCAAGCGGGCGGAGGCTCTGACTACCTTCTGCCAGCTCTCTGGCAATGCGCTCCAGCTCCTCACGCTTCTTCTTCTCCTCGGCCTCGACCCTCCTCTCCTCTTCAGCGATCGGCTTCAGGTAGTCTGCCACGAGCACAGGCGCTGTAAGACACGCTCCCTGCAGGGCGGCGGGGGG